CTGGCAGCTTTCTCCTGAGGTCGCCGCCCACCCCTTCATCAAAGACCCTTCTCTGGGACGTCCCTCCTTCTCCTCCAGGGAGCTGAACTCTGCCACCCACCAGCCAGACACCCGCCCCCTAAGCCCCCCCATGCCTCCCCATCGCCCGCTCCTCCAGCACCACTTCCGGTTCCGGGACGGACACACGTACAGTCACACCGTGAAGCCCCCCCTTCCACGCCCGCCCCCCCTCCCCCAGCGAGAAGGGGAGGGGGAGGAGCAGAGAGCTTGGCGCGCGCCGGCTGCAGCGGCGCGAGACTCACCCAGCGGCGACGGCAGCGGCGGCGCCAGAGCGCGGGAGGGGCGGCGTCGGCTGGGAGAGGAGGGAGCCGATTGGGGTGGGAGGACCGGAGGGGGCGAGGGGAGGGGGAGCGCGCGGCGGAGCGCGCGGGCACGCACTTTTAGGCGCGAGACAGACCCACACACTCCCACACACGGAATGCGCGCGAGACACCCGCAGGGCGGGGGCTCCAGGCAGTGGGTGGCCCCCTTTCTACCGCCCTCCCTCCCCCTAACACTCACCCGGAAGTGGTGCTGCCGCTAGTGCTCCTGAGAACCCCAATTCCTCCACGCCCCCTCCCTCCCTCCCTCCCCCCCACACGGTCCGAGTTGAGCCGCCACGGAGAGAAGGCGGGAGCGCCGGAAACGAAAAAGGGGGGAGGGAGGGAAATAGCAATGTAGGGGGGGCGGCAATTGGGAAGGGGGGGGAATGCAAAGGTCGAGTCACTTCCGGAAGCGGTAGAGCACATCCGGCGCCTCTCGCGCCAGGAGTCCTGAGGCCCGGAGTGACGCCGCGGAGGGGCGGAAGTGGCTTCGGCTCCGGGACCCGGTGGAACCCTCCGTGGATGTGACGCCACAACGGAAGTGAAGGAGCGTTCTGCTGAGGGCAGAAGCCGAACCTTCCCTTCCGAACGCCCGGCGGGCCCCCGGCTTCCGGAAGGGGCTTCTGGGGAAGTGGGAGGGCGGAACCGCGACAGGTTCATGAATTATGCATCAAGGTACGGGCGGACCTGCGGGTTCTTAAAGACTAGGGTCGCGTCTGCCTTACCTCGGTGGGGGAGGAGGCGACGTAGAAAGTGACCGTTTTTGTTTTTTTATATGGTACTCTCAAGGATGTTTCAATGCTTTGAATACGCAGGTGAGGACTGGATGTGTCCGTTTTCTGAGGTTCCTACTTAGGCCCAGAGAGTAACTAATAACCTCTCCCCAGCCATCAAAATCCCACCCCGCCCCAGCCGGGTTGCGCAGTGGCTAGAGCGTCAGCCTGCGGACCGAAGGCTCCCGGTTCGAATCCGGTCAAGGGCACCTACCTTGGTTGCAGGCTCCTCCCCCGCCCGGGCCCTGCTCAGGGCTCTTGCCGGAGGCAACCAATCCATGACTTTTTCTCACATGTTTCTGTCTTTCCCCCTGTCTTCCACTCTCCCTAAAAACCAATGGGAAAATATCCTCGGGCGAGGATTAACAACAGAAATCCGATCCCTCCCTGACCACACCCCTTACTCTCTGCTTTGGTCTCTAGGTTCTTTTCACCCACCTCCACGTCTCTGTCTCCCCACTCTGCTTAGCTTTTACACAGGGCACTCATCACTACCTGACATTGTATTGTTTCCATCTCTTCCCACTAGAATATCGGACTCGTGAGGGCAAGCTCTTTGAATTGTTTGCTGCTGTATCCTCAGAGCCTGGCATTTAGTTAGTGGTCGGTAAACGTTTGTTGCATAAATGAACACTTAATGTGAACTCTTTCAGGAAGCCTTCCCTGATTGCTCCAGCCCATAACGGTGCCTTTCTCTGAATTCCTACAGCATTTAGTCTGTACCTTTCGTTGCTGTTTTATCTCTTTCATATACGTGACTCTTCGGCGAGATTGTCAGCTCTCAGGGAAGAGGAGCTGCTTCGCTGAGCACATAGTAAATGCTGAATAGTTATACACCGGACACCCACAGTTTCGCTTTCCGCTGTTTCTGTTACACTTGGTCAACTGTGGTCCAAAAATATTAAGCGGAAAATTCCAGAAATAAACATTTCATAACTTTTAAATGACATGCCTTTCTCAGTAGCGTGATGAAATCTCCAGCTATCCAGCTGAGTCTGGGACATGACTCATCCCTTTGTCCAGGCTCTCCAAGATGTACATTCTCCTCACTCTCATTAGTTCCTTAGTAGCCATCTTGGTTGTCATATTGACTCTGGAGGTATTGCAGTGCTTGTGTTCAAGTAACCCTTATTTTATTTAATAATGGCCCCAAAGCACCAGAGTGGTGGTGCTGGCAACTCAGATATGGCAATTCAAAAGCCAGGAAGTGATTGCTGTAAGTGAAAAGGTATATATGGCCCAGCCTGCATGGCTCAGTGGTTGAGCATTGACCTATGAACCTGGAGGTCATGGTTTAATTCTGGTCAGGCCACATGCCCAGGTTGCAGGCTCAATCCCCAGTCAGGGACATGCAGGAGGCAGCCAATCAATGTTTTTCTCTCATCATTGATGTTTCTCTCTTCCTCTCTGAAATCAATAAAAATTTTTCTAAAAGAAAAAGTAAAAGGTATGTATGTATAGGAAAAACATATTTTATATATATAATATACATATTTCCATACCATCCCCTGGGGGGTCTTAGAACTTATCCCCTGCAGATAAGGAAGGACTACTGTATGTTATTTGAGTAAATGAATGCTGCCACTAGCCTGCACCGTGGTTCAGCTCTGGATTCAGCTTTATTTTGGCTGAAACAGAATTGAAGTCCCTCCTATTAACAGAAACAGCCCCTTGGTCAGAGAGCAAAATAACCCCAAAATAACTATAATGCCCATTTTACAAATAATGAAAATAGTAAAGATATAGGTGATTTTTCCCCCCAAGATCACAGCAATAAACTAGAAAAGAACACCTAAAAATAAACACTTAAATTAAATGTTTAAAAAGACATGTATCTTTGGCCTATAATTATTTGTATCTTTAAAAAAAATAAATCTTTATTGTTGAAAGTATTACATATGTTCCCTTTTTCCCCCCGTTGACCCCTCCAGCCCACCCTACCCCCCCAACCCAGGCCTTCACCACCCTGTTATCTGTGTCCATGGGTTATGCATATATGCATACAAGGTCTTTGGTTGATTACCTCCCACCCACCCCCCACCTTCCCTCCCAGATTCTGCACTCTGTTGCTGTTCATATCTTTTTTAAAGTAGCTAATATTCTTATCACCTTTTGGAGGGCTGCACTCTCTGTGTTAACCTGGTAGCAACAGCTAGGGCTAGCAACAGTCTTAAGGGCTCAGATGTGACCAGACCCAGTTGCTGAATGAGTTAGAGATCGGTGATTTGAGAAATGTTGAATTTGGGGGCTGAGAGAAAAGTGGGAGCAAAATAGTAGTCATCACTATAAGTCCTGGTTCTCTTCTAGTTCTTTTCCTCTTTACATTAACTGATACTCCCTGGGCCTCAGTGTCTGCAACTGTCAGTCCTGCTCTTGCTCTCGCTCTAAGAAGCAAGTCTTTAAGTTCCTTGAACTCCTCAGAGAGAAGCTTTAGATAGAGAACTGTGGGGTGCAGAGGGAGGAAGGCTGTTAATTTTAGCTTGGGGTTTTCCAGCTGGCACACTGTTACCATCTTGAATCACTTCCACACCCTGAGCTCTGCCTGGGAGATCCCTCCTCCCGGGGGCTTCCCCATTCCTGGTTTGGTCTGAGCCACAATGGTAAGCATTCCAGAAAAATGCTTAAGAGAAGCCTGGCTGAGTCATTTGATGCACAGCTCAGGAGGCAAAGAAAGTACAGTGATGAGAGACCCTGGTCCCAGTAGTGCCTGCGATCCAAGAACCAAAAGGGTAGTATAGTCATTGTTTATGTTCTTCGTCTGTCATTATGCAGTGACTCTCTGCCCTACCACTTACTGGCAGCCTTCTGAGGGCCTCCAAGGTCCCACCGTTCCATTTTCAACTCCATGAGAGAGAAAGGCTAGGATCTGTTCCCTGTGGGCTCGGGACTCTTTCTGGTCAGCATGGCAGTGTGACTTAGTTTGGGGTAATTTCTTTAGGACAACTCAGAAGACTAGGATGTCTCCTTTCTCCTCTGTCTCTCCACCTGACTTTCCATAGGGAAGAGAGCATTTAGGGAGAGGGAGCAGGTAAGGATTTCCAGTGTTTTTCTGGTGTATTTTAATATATTTAAATTTAGAGAAACAGCAGTCTAATCAGGCAATAATTAATTCCCTCTTCATCAGGGGCCTTCATGTGTGCCTTTTGCATATGGATGAGCCACAGGGTCACACTGTCCCTCTGAAGAGACAGTTGCTGAAGGTGATAGAGCTGAGTGTGCTCTCCGGGCACTTGAGCTCCTTCCCCCTTCCGTCCTGTGCTTCCCCCTCCCTGCACCTGACAAGGACTAGATTCCTGTGGGGAAAGAAGAGAAAGGTTAATGAGGCTTCCTCTCCCATCCTCCAGGATTCCTCTCTCACTGCCCCCAACGCCTCCCATCAGCGCCTCTTCCTGGGCCCTCAGTCCCATCCAGCCATCCCGTCCACCAGCTACCCACTGGATCTCTTCAGGCCCCACTGGGCTGCCTCGGAGCCCTCAGCAGCAGCTTATTTGCTGTGTACCTCTGCTTTTAGTTGGTTTATCACTCCTTGGCCCCACTCTGCTTCTTTACTCTGTCACAGTCTGTCTTTTTCTTAGGGAGTCTGACATCCTGAATGCACACACTGCTCTGGTCCTGAGAAATATGCTGCCTCCTCCCCACTAACCTTTGTGCGCCGGATGGACTCAGTCTTACTTCCCTGAGTACACAGTCAAGCTCTCCAACACCTAACGCACACACCTACCAACCCATGTACATTCCTAATTTGAGCTACAAATATAAACACATGTATGCATACACAGCCCGGGGCAGCCCAGATGCCTTTTGGCACATTACAGTCTCCTCTCCTCCCTGGAGCTCCCCATTTCCAGGGAGCAAGGGGGGAACAGATGGGGGTGGGGAGAGAAATGGGACCTGGGTGGTTACCATGGCAACGGAGCCTAGCAACAGCTGAGAGGCTGATGTGTGTGTGGGCTTTTGCAGGGTTGTTATAAGAGCCAAACCTAGAATTGGGGGCTCAGAGGTGACTGATCCCAGCTGGGCAGCTTGGATCCCCTCCCTCAAACACACCCCTTGATTCCACCTCCACACCCTATCAGAGAAAGCAGAGTGGGGAAAGCTAATGCGTTAACTACAGGGCTTCTAATGCTACACAGCTTTGGGGGGCAGGTTAGGGAGCATGGCTGAAAATAAACCAAGCAGGGCAGCCTCTTTCCCATTTCTCATTTTTCTCTTCTTTCACCTTTCACCCTCTCTCTGTATTATCAGCTCTCTCTTCTTCATTTTCTTGCTTCTCCATTGCCTGTCCTTCTATGTAATTTGCCCTTACTTTGTCTCCTTTCACATGGTCTCTCTTGACCTGCACTGGCAAGTGACAGGCAAGCCATTCTTCCAGTTTCTCTTGCTCTGTCTGCTCCCTTAGTTTCTCTTCCTTCCAGCTAGTCCTAAGTTAAAGCCCTTGAATCCCAACTCCAGGTCAGAGTAGGCCGGTCACATTGGGCTGGAGGGGTTCCCGGGTTCATCCTCTTTCTCCCTCTTGGCCGCCCATCACCTCTCCTCCCGTCCACTCTACAGGGCTCATAAGACAGAATCAGGGAACTCAGGTATCTTGCAAAGGCTTTATTTGAAAATTTTGAAACTTACATCCCACAAGAATTCAAGATTATCACCACAAGAAGAAAGAGATAATACAAAAATATATATCACAGCATAGGAGCCAGGTAAGAGAGAAAGAAGGAAGGTGGGAAAAATTATGAGAAGTAGGGAGAAACCTGGGGGCAGGGGGACAAAAGGAGGGAGAGTGGAAGAACAAAGGAGGGAAGGAAGGAGTGATGTTAGGGAGCCCAAGAAGGGGAGGGATAAATTGGGAGGTAGAGCTCCCAATGGCCTTGAATCAGCTGGCTCCATTCCCTGGCAGCCTCAGTGGAATTAGGGAGGCCCTTAGAGAGGCTGGGAAGTAGAGGACTGGCTCAGGGGGCTCTGAATTCCAGAGAGGGACACACACAGAGACAGCCAGGACAGATAAGACAAAAGGGACTTAGGAGGAAGGGCAGGGCAAATGGGAGCCCCTTTCGTGGGTAGTGCAGCAGGTGACTCCCCAAAACCCATCTCCCAGACAACAGAACTTAGCAGTGGGGTGGGGGAGAAGTGTGGGGCCTCACTACCCTCATCCTTATGGGAGCCCTCAGGGTATGAGATCACCCATGGAGTGGAATGAGGGAGACAGTGAAACACATGACAGGGAACAGGATGGGCCATGACAGATGGGGGGCACAAGGAGCCCCCAGCTCACCTCCCACCCACCTCTGGGGCAGCATGCAGGAGCCACAGAAAATAGATCAGTGGGTGTTCATGAGGGAGAATGTAAGCACAACACACAACACAACATGGGGCCAGGAAATGCATGTGAGAGGAATGGTAAAGTCAGCCACTGACCACTGAGTGACTGAGATGAGCATGAAATGTGGGAAGAGAAAATGAAAAATGAGAAACAAAAGAGAGAATGTGGGGGGTCAGCAGAGGGGAGAGAGGTGGATGGGGAGAGGGTGCAGAAGGCTGGCTGCACAAGAGCATGAGTGTGTGCAATGGCCCGTGAGGGTGGAGGTGAGTGTGCAAGGCTTTCATGTGAGTGTGCAAGGATGGGGATGGGGCACCAGAAACCAGAGGCCCCACTTAAAGGAGGGTGAGCAGATAGGATTGCCTATAGGGCCAGTGAGTGTTCCAGGGTGGTGTGCCAGGGCAGAAGCCAGGAGCACCTGCAGCCCCAGCTCCCACAGCTGCCCTACCCTCAGTGGGATGGTGGCTATGCCGGCCCCTTGGCCTCCTGCTTGGTGGCACCCCAACATTGATGGGCATCACAGATTCACCAGGGGAATCCTGAGAGGAAGAGGGAAAGGGTGCAGTCAGGAAACAAGGGGTAAGCCGGAATTGAAAGGGGAGTCCAAGACAAAGGGAGTCAAGGCTAAGAGGGCGGAGTTGGAGTTAAATGGCAGCATGAGAATAGGACAGAGATCCACAGAGCAGGAGAAGGAAGGGTCCCCTCAGAGAAGAGGGGTCCAGGCTCCTTGGGAGGGCCAGGGACCAGGCTGGGAAGGAGAGCCAGGGGCCCTGGGAGGGCCAGGCCCTTCCTCCTTCCCACCCACCCAGGAGGGAGCACCCCCAACCACAGCTCCAGAGACCTAAACGTCCTCCCCTCCCCACCCTCCATCTTTTTGCCCTGGCCCTCACCGGTTCAACTGGAAGGCTGGAGCCCCTTTGGGCTGGGGCATCCCAGGCCCAAGCCGGGGTCCCCCTCGGGGCTCCTCGTGGTCAGGGGTGGGGGTTGGCGAATCCCCGAAGGCCCCCAGCACAGTGACCCCGGCTGGGGACAGGTCTGTCAGCGGCTGCTGGCTCTCCTCCTGCCTCAGGGCACCTTGCTGTCCTGAGGGCCTGCGCCGCTTCTGGCTGCGGTCCCAGCTGGTGCACCGGAAGGGAAGAGGTTCTCTCACACACTTAAGAAGCCCCCATCCTGAGCCTGCAGGGTTGGTCACCCCCCAGCCTTCCTTAGGTACCCCTAAGATCCTACAGCTGAGAAACCGGCCTCTAACAGTTCTCTACACCAAATCTGAAACCAAGTGTCCATAAAACCACTTCTCCTACCCTGCCCGCCCTGGGACGCTGGGATCTAAACCATCCCCCCAACCTGGTCCACATCCACAGAGTTAGTACTTCCTCCCCACCAACAGGTGGAATCCTCCAGAATCGCCGCCTGGGGAGGCGTACCCAGAAAAACCATTTCTCTCCTCAGCAAGCACCTTGGCAGGTTTAGTTCTAATTCAAAGCCAGCTAATGACCTGGACACTTCAATGATTCTCTCAGTAACGTGTGAAGGACTGGGTGACCCATTATTAAATACAGGCCAAGAAAGCTCCAGATTTACTCCCTCCTCCCCAGGTGCCCTAAGAAGGGGCTCTGCAGACTGGGTCATTGTTCTCAGTCTTGGAGGGACAAGGAATAACCAGCAAAGCCCCTAGTGCACATAATAACCCCCCACCGCTCCCATTATCCTTGTATGTCCCTGGGAGAAGGAATGTGCCCTGGTTTCTCACTGTCTCCCCCGACCCAAATCCTTAACTACCTTTCCCCAAGGTCTTGCCTTACTCTACCACTCCCTATCCCACCCCCAGCAAAATCCTGCCCTTGCGTCTTCCCTCCTTCCAGCCAAACATCCAGTTCCCAATGGCCAGCACCCTCATCCCCACAGCTTACCAGAACTTGAAGATGATGCCAGTGGCCACGAGAACAATGATGATGGAGATGGTAATTGTGACATAGAGCTGGGGGTCCACACCTGATTGGGGTGGGAAGAAAGTTTTAGGGGGGCTCAGTGTGGTAGGAGCCACGAGGGAGTGGGGATGGGGCTAGGCTACAGGTTCAGTAAGTTTGAGGAGGGCTGCCAATGTGAATCCACGTTGCCCAACTCTTTCTAGAGCCCCTCACCCTTTATTCCATTCATCAGCTTTACCCAGAGTTTTCAGCTCTTTTCCTCCCAAATCCCCCACTTTCCCAATCCTGTATATATGTGATGAGGAGGGGGCTCCAAGGTCAGAGAGAACCCTGTTCTCTGTACAGAAACCAGGGGGTGGAACCGTCCATCTGTGCTCTGGCCTCACCCCCAAACCACTGGCCCTGGCTCTGCATTCTCTGAGCTGAGCTGTCACCCTGGGGTTCCTTTCATGGTGTTCCTCTGCATGAAATGCACCCACTCAAGGTTCAGTTCAAATGTCAATTCTTGGAAGGTGTTCTGATCCCCAGGCAAAGGTCGTCTCTCCTCTTTTCTTTTTCTTTCTTTTTTTTTTTTGGTTAATCCTCACCCTAGGATATTTTTCCATTGATTTTTAGAGAGAGTGGAAGGGAAGGGAAAAGACACAGAGAGAGAAACATCAATGTGAGAGAGACACATCAATTGGTTGCCTCCGCATGCCTCGACCAGAGCCAGGAATCCGTGGACCAGAATCAAGCCCAGGGCCCTTCCGTCTGAGGGTCGATGCTATAGCCACTGAGCCAAATCGGCTAGGGCTCTCCTCTTTTCTTAAGCAACATGCTGAGCATGCCTCTAGTAGAGCACTTATTACACTGACATCCCCAAGTGTTTACACATCTGTCTTCTCCAATGGCCCCGAGCTCCTCCAGGGCTCAGACGCGTCTTCATCTCTGCCGCCTGTGCCAGCGTGGTGCCTGACACATTTGTGGAAGGAGCTAACAGACAAGGCCTCGCTTGCTGCCCTGAGCTTCAACCAGCCTCCCCACCCTCATATCCCTACCGCCCTCTCACACTTCCACTCACCTTCCCCACGACCCCCGAACAAGAATGGCCGCAGTGTGGCAGGTGCTTCTCTAAGGATGATCCCATCTCCATCACCCCGCATGGAGTCTGAGTTGGGGTGTGGGGTAGCCAGCCCATGGGGGGCTGCAAAACCATAGTCCAGGGGCAGAAATCCAGGATTGGCAGAGTTGGGATCCCCCCCATCCTCTCGAGACACTGTAGGGCCCCATACAATAGCCCAGGGATACTGGGATGAGGGTGGCCCCTCTTCAAAGCCTGATGGGGTGGCAGGGGGCGCGGTGCCTGGCAGGACTTGCCGCCTGGATCTTGGAACCCGAGGGGATCGGCTTGGTGGGGGTGCCCGCTCCCACACACAGACATGGCGTGGGGCTGAGGGACCTCCCCGGGCGCATGGGGGACGTGCTGGGGCTGGTGGGGTTCGAGGGGAGGAGGAGGAGCCTTGAGCAGGTGGTGGGAAGGGCAGCAACAGCAGTGGCCAGAGAGGGAGGAGGTGGGACAGCAGCAGCGCAGGCCTACAAAAAGGGAGAAAGAGAGGGTAAGACAGAAGCCCATCCTGGGCCTGTGTGTGGGGAAGACAGGCTCATACCTGTGACCCCCAGCCGCCTCTCTCCAGGTCTCTCTGCAAAAGCAGGCGGGCTTTGGGAAGGTTCAGCCTCATTTCCTATCTTCCCAGGGTCTAGAGCCCTTAGGATGGAGGGCCCTTGATGGGTCTAGGGAGGAAAGGGCCAAGACCTCAGGGAACGCTCCCTCCGCTGTGCCGAACTTACCACATCCTGGACTCCATGCTCAAGGTCTTCCTCAGCTGTGACCCAGATTTTCGGCTTTTACTGGGAAAGAGAAGGGATTGTCACATCCCCACCCCGCCCTGCGTTCTTCCCCAGCTCATTCATCCACCAATTCTACCCACATCTCCCCTCGCATGCTGCTGGCTGCCAGCAAAGCTGCTGCCCCCCAGGATTCACTGCTGCCCCCCAGGATTCACTGCTGCTGAGCATCATTTGGGGGGAAAAACTCCCAAGTGGCTCCCTGTCTAGCTCCCAGCCCCTCTCTACAACTACCCAGGTCGCTGTTATCTCCCCACCCCAGGGCCTACTCTCACTTCTCAGGCTTCCTTCTCACTTCCTTGTCCACAGCTCCAAGCTTTTCTTGGATCTTAATTTAGAGTCAAGAACCTTGTGATTCCTTGAGCACCTACCGCTAGGGAGAGTCAGGGTGGGGGAGGGTAGAGGAAGTCAGTCTGAGTGTGTGAGTGTGTGTGTGTGTGTGGCACGTGCCCAGCCTGCCCACCCCACCTGTAGTCCCAGGCAATTCTCTTAGGATTGGCCCCAAGAATCTGCATCTTTAGGAGAAGGGGAAGAGGAGATGGAGGGAGGGAAGGAAAGAGGCAGAGAGAGGTGAGTGGGAGAAAAACTACAGAATATACTTTTTGCTCAGTGTTTAAGCATACAAATGCATAGATGCCCTCTGACGGGAGGAGCCACCCTTACATGTAGCTATCCTGGGTGAAGACTCCTGGAAGAGTCAGGGTGGTTGCTTTTGAAAGAGGAAGGACGTGTGTTCAGGGTTGAGGGTGCTGGACCCAGGGTGGGCCAGGCTCCCCTAAGAAAATGGGACTATGATACCCTGTGGATTATGGGTCTAAATCTGTACTCTCAGTACTCTCAGAGAATAATGGGAATAAGATAAGAAGGTCTGGGGAAGGGAATGGGAAAATGGGCAGTGGGGAGGGATGTGAAGGGGTGAAGGGCCCAGAAGGGAACGGTGGGTTAGGAGCGAGAAGGAAGGAGAAGAGTGAAGAGGAAGCCAGCATAGAGCACAGAGCGGGGGGGGGGGGGGGGGGGGGGGGGGGGGGGGGGGGACAGGAGTCCGTCCTGAAAGAGAACAGAAGGGGGGCAGGTACAGAGGCTGGAAGCTTGGAGGATGCTGAGGGAGAACAGGATGAGTTAAAGGTCAGGGAGGGAAACAGAGGGTGAAGGGGTCACAGGAGCAGGGGAAGAAGGGGAAAGGGCAGGAGGGGAGAAGGAAAGGTGCAGGCAGGAAGGGAAGGTGGACACCGTGCAAGGGGAAGGGAGAGAGGGGTGGAGAAGAGCAGGGTTGGGGAGAAGGGAAATGGGAAAGGAGGGAGCATAATACCGATGACAAAATAAGAGGAAGGGCTGGGGACCGAAGACAAACAGCAAAGATGGAGGAGTTGGAAATTGCTTCTTCCGATGTAAAGGGATGTGGGGCTATGGGAGGAGACAGGGATAGGGGCATGGTGGGAAGAAGGGAGAGAGGGATGACAGAGAAGCAGCAGGAGGGAGGAAGTAAGGAGTGTGGAAGCAAACCAGTGAAGCGGAGAGGGCTCTCAGGGGTCTCTGCGGCCGGCTGACTCCGGGACTCACTCACCTCTCCGCCGTGTGCATCACCCCCTCCCCACGCCGTCAACTCGGGTCCCAGGACCCTACGCCCCTCCAGCCACCCCTTCCAGGAAGCCCGCAGTCCCCAGGCTGGCGCGCCACCCCCACCCTTTCCTCGCGCCTCGCGGACCTGTTGTGCGCAGGAGACCAGATGGGGGTGGGGCGGGAGCCTGGAGGTGGGGGATCCCGGCCCTGTTTCCAGCGTGGCCCCAGCCCACCCCTCTCACAGGCCCGCGCACCCGCTGGAAAGCAGCGAGAGTTGGGGAGAAAACGAGGACCCGGAGGTAGGCGAAGGGACTCCGAGGGGGGAGCCGACAGGGACCCGACGCAAGAGGATGCGGGGAGCCTGAGCCGAAGGCAGGATGGAGGCGGCCACGGGGACGGCGACCGCTGCGCCAGGAGGGTAGGATGGAGCCGGGACCGGAGCAGGGATGGAGAGCGCCGCAGGGAAGGGGCGCTTCGGGACTAGAGGCTGGGACCCGGGGAGGGACCGCGCCGGGAGCGGCGGGGGCGAAAGGCTCGGAGTTCGGAGGGACCAGGCCGGGCTCCCTCGGGTGGGGGCGTGGGGGTCCCTTTCACTCACCTGCGTGCCTGGCGCGGCGGCGCGACAGCTGCTGGCGCTCGGGGCTGCGCCGGGCTGGGGGGACGCGGGAGCGGGTGGGGCGCGGGGCATGGTCAGGGGGGTGGCCGGCAGCGGGGTGCTGGAGAGGGTGGGGGGCGGGCGCCCGGGGCGCGGGGCGGCGGCAGCGGAGGCGGCGGCGGGGAGATGCTCCGCTCGGCTCGGCTCGGCTGGACTCGGCTCGGCGGGGCTCGGCGCGGCGGCTCGGAGCGCTCGGTCTCCTCCTCTCCCCCTCCCGCCCCCCGCCCCGGGCCACGCACGGTTTAACCCTCCCGCTGCCGCACCGCGGGAGCCGCGCTCAGCTGTGTCCCAGGTGTGAGGCTGGAGAGGGCGGCGGAGGCTGCGCGACTGTCTGATTCCCCGCGTTTTGATGGCGGCCTCCCCGCCCTTTCACCCAACACCGTGGAAACCCGTGGTCACCTTAGTGCATTTCTTCGATTCGGCATCTCCAACTATTTCACCCCTGGCGAAGAGTGCGGAGTGGGGGCCGGGGCAGCGGGGGCAATGAAGACCTCGCGCCAGCCTTGGATTCTCCCAGTGACTGGATCCCCGGTTCCACTCTGGCCCTGCTACAATGCATTGCCTCACAGCAACCCGATTACCTTTAAAATAAGGAGATCAAGTCGCATTACTCGGCTTATCTGGCAATCGGAATAGCCAAACTCCTTACTGGGGCTTACCAGACTGTATGACCTCGCCCCTAGCTCTCTGATGTCTTTCCCCAACACATCTTTATGCCCCAGCGACACTGGACCTGATCTGTATTTCTAAAACTAGAGCTTAACTGACCAGGGGGTCTTTGCATTGACTGTTCCCTGTGTCTGGAACGTTCCCCCCTGGCTTTTAACAATGACTCACTCTTTTCATTAATATTTCACTTAGATCCAGTGTCACCTCTTCTGGGAGGCCTTTGCTAACCACTCTGTCCAAAGCAGTTTCCCTGCCCTAGGTGGTTTGGCTCAGTGGATAGAGCTTCGGACTGAAGGGTCCTAGGTTCGATTCTGGTCAGGACGCATGCCTGGATTACAGCTCAGCCCACAGTGTAGGGCGTGCAGGAGGCAGCCTATCAGTGATTCTCTCTCATCATTGATGTTTCTATCTCTCTCTCCCTCTCTGAATCAATAATATATATATATACTAGAGGCCCGGTGCACAAAAATTGTGCCGGGCCTGTGCCCTCTCGAAATCTGGGACCCCTTGGGAGATAACGACCTGCTGGCTTAGGCCTGCTCCCGGGTGGCAGAGGGCAGGCCCAATCCCTAGGTGCAGCCCCTGGTCGGACTCAGAGCAGGGCCGATTGGGGAGTTGGGGCGCCTTCCCCTGTCATGCACAGAGCAGGGCAGATTGGGAGATTGTGATGCCACCCTCAGTCACGCTCAGGGTAGGGCGATTGGGGGGTTGGGGCACCGCCCCCTGTCACACTCAAGGCAGGGTGATGGGGAGGTTGCAGCGCCACCCCCTGTCACGCACAGAGCAGGGCCAATCAGGGGGTTGGGGAGCTCCCCCCTGTCATGCACAGAGCAGGGTCAATCAGGGGGTTGGGGAGCTCCCCCCTGTCATGCACAGAGCAGGGCGGATCAGGGGGTTGGGGTGCCGCCCTCTATCACCCACAGAGCAGGGCCAATCAGGGGGTTGGGGCGCCGCCACTGTCACACTCAGGGCAGGGCTGATGGGGAGGTTATGGCTCTACCCCAGCCATGGGCAAACTACGGCCTGCGGTCCGAATCCGGCCCGTTTGAAATGAATAAAACTAAAAAAAAAAAAGACCGTACCCTTTTATGTAATGATGTTTACTTTGAATTTATATTAGTTCACACAAACACTCCATCCATGCTTTTGTTCCGGCCCTCCGGTCCAGTTTAAGAATCCGAGTCAAAAAGTTTGCCCACCCCTACTCTACCCCATCACACACAGAGCAGGGACCATGGGGGGGGGGGGGGGGTTGGGGGCGCCGCCCTCTATCACCCACAGAGCAGGGCCGATCAGGTGGTTGGGATGCCGCCACTCTCACACTCAGGGCAGGGCCGATGGGGAGGTTATGGCTCTACCCCGTCACACACAGAGCAGGGCCCGTGGGGGGGTGGGTTGGGGCACCGCCCCCTGTCACACACAGAGCCGCAGGGCGATCAGGGGGTTGGGGAGCTCCCCCCTATCAGGCACAGAGCAGGGCTGATCAGGGGGTTGGGGCTCCTTCCCCTGTCACGAACAGAGCAGGGTGGATAGGGAGGTTGTGGCCTGCCCCCTGTCACACACAGAGCCGCAGGGCGATCAGGGGGTTTGGGCGCTGCCCCCTGTCACGCTGATCCCGGTGCCGGGAGGCCTCTCGGCTCCACTGATCCTGGTGCTGGGAGGCATATTACCCTTTTACTATATAGGGTAGAGGCCTGGTGCACGGGTGGGTGCCAGCTGGTTTGCCCTGAAGGGTGTCCTGGATCAGGGTGGGGGTCCCCACTGGGGTGGCTGGCCAGCCTGGGTGAGGGGATGATGGCTGGTTGCAGCTGGTCACACACCCTTCAGGATGGGGGTCCCCACTGGGGTGCCTGGCCAGTCTGGGTGAGGGGCTGAGGGCTGTTTTCAGGCTGGGGGTGACTGAAGCTCCCAACCGCTCCTTTTTTTTCTTTTTTGTTTTTTATTCTGGACCAGCTTTAGCTTTGAGGCTTGGCTCCAGCTCTTAGGCCTCCGCTGCTGAAAGTAGGTTTCTGGCCTTTGCTTACAATGTTGCGATCCTGCTGGCTGAAGCCTGGTGGACTAAAACAGGTTTCTGGGGTTTTGTTTAGCTTCTATATTTGTTACATAGTTGCTTAGAGTTGCAGCTCAGAGGTCTGCAGTGGCAGGTGGGGAACGTTGGAGTCCTCCGTCACTGAAGCAAGCAAGCCTCATGTTAGTTTCAACCTGCCTGGCTGCCGGCCGCCATCTTGGCTGGCAGTTAATTTGCATATTGCCCTGATTAGCCAATGGGAAGGGTAGCGGTCGTACGCCAATTACCATGTTTCTCTTTTATTAGATAGGATATTTTTTAAAGTAGCTTCCCCTTCCCCCCAATCCAGCTCATGCATTCATTTCTATCAAAATCAGGTTTTTGTTTTAATTTATTTTAGGGAAGGAGGAAGAGAGAGAGAAGAGACATCGTTGCCTCAAATTGAACCCAAAACCTAGGTATGTGCCCTCATCAGGAATCGAACCCACAACCTTCTGGTGCACCGGGAGGATGCTCCAACCAACTGAGCCACACCAGCCAGGGCCACAACCAGGTCTTATTCAGATTGCACTTCTAGGACACCACACTCTTGTTTCCCTCCAACCTTGCTGGCTTTTCTTTCTCAGTGTTTTTCTGCTCGACCTCTAAACATTAGAGCTTCTGAGGGCTTAGTCCTTGGCCCTCTTGTCTTTCCACATCCTCTGTCCAATGATGTCATCCAGTCCCAGGGCTTAAACACTATGTAAATGTCAGCGAGCCCTAAATTTATATCCAGAGCTCTAGACTCATTTATCCAACAGCTTACTTGACATCTCCACTTGGGTGTCTAATAGCCATGTAAAGCTAATGCAGCTAAAATGCATCTTGAATGATTTCCTGGCCAATCCATTCCGTGCCCCCCCCACCCCCACCCCCCGCCCCGGTGTTTCCCATCCACTTCTTTAGGCTAAAAGCCTAGGAAACATCCTTCCTCCCTTTCCCCTTTCTTACTAATTCCCGCCCTGTATCTAATTCACCAGCAAGTCCTGTGAGTTCTGCATCCAAAATATACCCTGAATCCATCCACTTCTCTCCATCTTTGTTGCTCTCACCCTGGTCCAAGCCATCGTCTTTCATCTTGAATAGTGCAATAGCTGCCTAGCTGTTCCCTTGCTCCTCCCTTACCCTTTACAAACTTGTCTTCACAATATCTGGGAATATTTTAAAAATCAGAATCTTGCCGAAACCGGTTTGACTCAGTGGATGGAGCGTCGGCCTGCGGACTGAAGGGTCCCAGGTTCGATTCCGGTCAAGGGCATGTGCCTGGGTTGCGGGCACATCCCCAGTGGGAGATGTGCAGGAGGCAGCTGATCGATGTCTCTCTCTCATCGATGTTTCTGACTCTCTATCTCTCTCCCTTCCTCTCTGTAAAAAATCAATAAAATATATATATTAAAAAAAAATCAGAATCTTATCATGCTCTTCCGTGCTTACAATATTTGAGTGGCTTTTCACTGTGCTCGTGATAGATCTGAACTCGTTAGGAGAGGCCCTTCACCTTGTACTCCTCTTCAGTGTTCAAACAATGTTCCTGCCAGATCGGGCGTCTTGTTTTTTGTTTTTGTTTTTAATATATTTTATTGACTTTTTACAGAGAGGAAGGGAGAAGGATAGAGAGTTAGAAACATCGATGAGAGAGAAACAGCAATCAGCTACCTCCTGTACACCCACCACTGGGGATGTGCCCGCAACCAAGATACATTGCCCTTGACCGGAATCGAACCTGGAACCCTTCACTCCACTGGCCAACGCTCTATCCACTGAGCCAAACCCGTCAGGGCCAGATCGGGCATCTTGATGTTCTAGATCTAGAACATCCAAAATCATTCTCTTAGAACCCCTGCACTTTTGATTCCCTCCTTCTGGAATCCTTTGTCTCCCTCTCCCTCTCCTTTTTACCTGGCTGCCTCCCTTTTGTCACTCAGCCACCCACTCTATTTCATCAGTATGTCTCATTGTCTTTCAAACTCATCTCACTCACTGAAATGATCTTATAGCTGTTTATTGTTTATTGTCTGCCCCACCCCACATACACTAGGGCTTGGCATATACGTAGATGCTCAATATGTATTGCTTAGTGAACTTGACCTGGGACTCCTGCCCACTGGAACTCTTTTTTTTTTTTTTTAATTAAATCTTTATTGTTCAGATTATTACATTTGTTCCTCTTTTTTTTCCCCCCATAACTCCCCTCCTCCCAGTTCCCGCCCCACCCTCCGCCCTCACTCCCCACCCACTGTCCTCATCCATAGGTGCACGATTTTTGTCCAGTCTCTTCCCGCATCTCCCACACCCCTTTCCCCCCCAGGAATAGTCAGTCCATTCCCTTTCTATGTCCCTGATTCTATTATAATCAACAGTTCATTCTGTTCATCAGATTATTCATTCACTTGATTCTTAGATTCACTTGTTGATAGATGCATATTTGTTGTTCATAATTTGTATCTTTACCTTTTTCTTCCTCTTCCTCTTCTTAAAGGATACCTTTCAGCATTTCATATAATCCTGGTTTGGTGGTGATGAACTCCTTTAGCTTTTCCTTATCTGTGAAGCTCTTTATCTGACCTTCAATTCTGAATGATAGCTTTGCTGGATAAAGTAATCTTGGTTGTAGGTTCTTGGTATTCATCACTTTGAATATTTCTTGCCACTCCCTTCTGGCCTGCAAAGTTTCTGTTGAGAAATCGGCTGACAGTCGTATGGGTATTCCCTTGTAGGTAACTGAGTTTCTTTCTCTTGCTGTTTTTAAGATTCTCTCTTTATCTTTTGCTCTTGGCATTTTAATTATGATGTGTCTTGGTGTGGTCCTCTTTGGATTCCTTTTGTTTGGGGTTCTCCACGCTTCTTGGACCTGTAAGTCCATT